CTCCAGCACCAAGCGCCACCATCTCACCCACACGTGCATCGTCTCCAAGGGCTGGGCCCCTCGCGAACGGGGCCACGTCGGCACAGCTGCACCAACCTGGTCCTCTCATGGGCAGCCGCCATCGGTGCCTGGAAGCTGAGCCCTTGGGTGCCCGCCAGGAGAGATTCAGACGCTGCCCCGCCGATTAGCAGAGCCCCCCATGGGTTATTACTGGTGGTGCACATCCGCACGTGCTTCTGTGTACAATAAATATATTCCGCATGTGGCTGGGAAAAATGAGAGGACACACTGGCAGCCGCCCGGGGGCACTTTGCTGGGAGCGATCCACAGATCGCCCCAATGGCACTTGCAGACCACTGGTGGTCGCAGACGCTGCCCCGCCGATTAGCAGAGCCCCCCATGGGTTATTACTGGTGGTGCACATCCGCACGTGCTTCTGTGTACAATAAATATATTCCGCATGTGGCTGGGAAAAATGAGAGGACACACTGGCAGCCGCCCGGGGGCACTTTGCTGGGAGCGATCCACAGATCGCCCCAATGGCACTTGCAGACCACTGGTGGTCGGTAGTTTTTCCATCCCTGTACGCGGTCCCTCTGCCCCGAGACCGCACGGCCTTCCCGGCCCCGTAACTCTTCTGTCTCTGCCGCTGGGGATCAGCCGGTGCCTGCGGGCAGTCGTGGCCCTTACCGTATTTAACATCCATTCAAGCTGGTTAAGGCAGATTTGCCCGAGATGCTTGTTGGCATCGCGCTGGGGGCCCTGATCTTGCAGCCATGGGCAAACAGGCGTGCCTGGTCATTGGCGGATACCAGGACAGGCGGGGCTGGGCCAGAGCAGCGCCCCCTGCTGGATAATGCTGCACTCCAAGCCAGGCCCAGCTGAGCCCTGCGGAACCGCACGGGAACAGGCATTAAAGGAGGGTTGGCTTGGACTGCAAGGCAGAAGGGACAAAGCAAAATCAGCCCAGGCCAGTCCATATGGCAGAGGGAAAACCGAGTTCTCTCGACCCGTCGGTGTTACGCACCCAGGCTGTAGCCACATTGGTTGCGGGATATGAGAGCGAGACGGTGGGTGAAGTCATGTCTGGGCCGGGACCGGCTGGTGTTTGGGGGGGGGGCGCGCGTGAGGT